ATTAATATTGTGAGTTAGAGCATACTGTTGTGAAACTTGAGAAGTCATTGGAATTATCCAGACAGCTGTTAAAGCCTATCCTGCAGGCGGGGGGACACCCACTACAAGTAGTTTGTGGTCAGATTGAGAACCCACAGCGCCTGTTTCCAGCCTAGAGTTCCACCTCCTCTGAGGTTCTTGGACTAAATGGTAGAACCCAGCAACATCCCCAAAACGATGTAATTTGTACGTTTCGCTCATTCAAGGACAACATCAATACATATTAATGCGCGTTAACCATCGTGCTTACACCGCAGACGAATTACAGCTCTTCTCTTTTTACAAAGTGTTCTTTCACAAGGGGGGCACCCACTCTGAGACACGCACCCCGTGCACTTTCAGCCCTGGCACTTTGCCAAGTGTTGCAGTTGGGAGCTGAAGAAGAGCCAGTTCCTGTGTTTGGAACTTTCATGGTCCCGGCCCTCCCTGGGGGCGCAGCGGGTTAAAGCGCAGCACTGAGAAGCTAAAGCCACTGCAGCACGAGTTCGATCCCCAACCCGAGGTGACCCACAGGGCGCGGCAGACCTCTCCTGACCCGCCCGCTGCTCCCCTCAGCAGTGGACTTCGTCGATCTGCCTGTTCTGCTCCCCGCTCTGTCTCTGGGGAAGCCTCTCACCGCCCCTGAGCCTCTGGCCTGTGCCCCAGCTCTGTATGCACAAATAAATCTTTTAAACACACACACACACCCACACAAAACACATTCGTGGGGTAAGGAGGGGTCAGGCCTGGGGAAAACGCAGAGGGGCGGCCCTGGGTGCTGGTACCAGGTTCGAGAGTGTTCTTTTGATTATTACACCTCACAGCATTTATAAGCCGCATATACTTGGTATGTATCACATACAACATAAAAAATTTAAATATATGTATTCGCTTGCTTTCACAGTATTCATAGCAAACGAGTGTCTGAAGCACAGGACCAGAGCTGGCAGCTTGCACGGCTTCTGTTTCGCATAAGATATTTCCCCAGCCCACTCAGCTCTAAAGTTGTTTTGTATTTCACCACTTGCTCCATCTTATCTTGAAGCCTTGCATCTTTAAAAAGAAATGTTGGTTCTGATCAGGCACGCTGGGTGTGGTGCGAGGATCGCTGTTGGACCAATAGAGCCATTGCCTGCGCAACAGATCAGATCCTGTTAATTTTGTCTGCGCCTCGAGTGGTGGAGCCCGGCTCGCTTGCTCCCATGGTGACTGCTGCCCCCACGTGCCTGTAGTTCCTGGTGAGCCTTTGCACAGGTGGACGTGTACCCCAGCGGCTCTTTTTCCCCGGAGAAGCCCCAGTTCTGCCTGAGCATGCTGACGGTGCTCCAGCAGATTCTAAGGCCTCAGAACAGCGCGCCCCGCCTGGGGGGGCTGGCATTGCCCTCCTCAGGGCCACCTGCCCCAGCTGTGTTCTGTGGAGGCAGGAGAGCACCTTCTTCCTGGCCTTCTGCCCAGAGTGCCCCTGCCTGGGAAGCTCGGCTCCCTTCTCCTTGAGAAGCGCCTCCCTCCTCCAGGGCCTCCCGCCCCTCAGCTCAAGCCTCTCAGCCCCCAGGAGACCCCTCTGCAGACAGCCTCTTCCTCGGCCCTGGACCGAGACTCCGGACCGGCCTGGCCACTGCGCTGCCCAGTCCTGCGAAGCGCAGGTTTTCTCCAGCTCCTGGTTCTCCTACTTCCCGGTGCCCATGCCAGTGTCCCGATGGCTCCGGCCTGTCATGTCCGGCCCCCAGCCCCTGGCCTGGCGGGAGGCGCTCGGCCTGTAAGGTGAGGGCCCCCCGGGGGAGCCTTGCCCGTCTGCGGCCTGTGCCCTCAGCAGGTTTGGCCATTCGGCGGGAGATCTGCCGGGACCTGCCCAGGCCCACACGGACACCGCTCAGTGCTCGGTGCGTAGACGGGGCCCCGAGGGCCATCGCCTGGGAGGTGGCCCGGAACTGCCACCCAGGGCTGTGTCCGCCACCCTGTCCTTGGTCAGGGCGGCGCGCGGCTCCCTGGGCCCAGCGGTGGGGGCCTGTGAGCCCGCAGCTTCGGGCTGAGCCTCACGGCCCACAGCCCCCGGCCGGACGGCACCCTCCTGGCCCGCCCCGGTGCGGGAAGGCCCAGCCTGGCCCCTGCCGGACCACCCCCTCTGGCGCCCCCAGCCGCTAGCAGAGGGACCTGTCTGTGTCGCCCTGAACGTGGGCTCACACTGACTCCTGCCCGGGCACCGTGCTGAGCACCCCAGAGTTAGTGAGGTGACGGCCCTCAGCTCAGCAGCTGACTGCGGACAGCTCTCCACAGACCCCTCGGCCCGGGCCGGCGTCGCCCACTGGCCTCTGCCCGGTCTCCGTGCGGTGGACCTGTCCGCGGGACCCTTCTGCGGGAGGGCCCGTCTGTAAGCTTTGATCCCCCGGCCTCGGGGGCTCTCGGCACGGAGCGGCAAGCCGGGTGTCCCTGTCGGCGGTGCTCAGTGAAACGGGAGCGTGGGCGGCCGACGGGACGAGAGCAGCCCCGCCACGGGGAGCAAGGCGTGGTGCGTGTCAGCAGGACACCCCAAAGCCGCTCGCTGGGGTGACGGAACACCCACGAACAGCCTGTGGGCTGGGCTGGCCCGGGGTCGCGGAAGGCTGTTCCCAAATTAACGGGAGAAAACCCGTCTCCCCTATTTGCTCTTCGAAACGGGTGTGGAAGAGCTGCTGTGCTTCCTGCAGTCGGTGGGGTGTGTCTTGCGTTACTGTCGGTGATTGACCTCGTCCTCCTGAGGGAGGCAGAACAGGGCCGGCTGTGACGGGACGGGGAGCTGAGGGGAGCAAAGCACTCCCGAGGGAGGCGCTGGAGGGCCAGGGCGGTTCAGCCTGAGAGTCGCCGCCAGCCGCCCTCGGGGACGGCTGCGGGCGTCTTTGCCTCGGCGCTGCCCTCGGCCGGCCCAGTGGGCTGGGGCCGGTGCTCCCGGTAGCTGCCGCAGGGCTGAGGCCCACAGTGCGCAGAAGGCCACCGCAGCCTCACCCCGGCTCTGAGGGTGGCGGCCGGGCCTGGCGCGGGGGCGGCCCGGAGCGCGGCCGTGAGGCTGCCCTGTGCTCTGGGCCAGCGCCCGCTCCTCCAGGAGCCCAGAACAGCCCGAGCCAGTGCACAGCACCGCGGTCCTGGGCCCCGAAGCTCAGGGCAGCAGCCACGAAGGGCCGCTCCCGGCCACTTGTCGCTCCCAGCCGCCTGGCCGACTGTCCCGGCTTGGGCTCCGCCTGTTTGCGGCCGCTGCAGTCAGGTTCCGGCCTCAGGGCCAGCGGCTCTCCGCTGCCCCCCGGTTGGGAGGAAGACCACTGGCCGCTGATTTAAGTATCAAAGCGCTGGAATCGCCTGCCTTGCAAGGATAAAGGTTACCGGCTCTGAATTCTCAGTCCGCTCCAGAGTGGACAGCAGAGCAGGTCTGCAGACAGGGCTGCCTTTGCAGCAGCGGCCAGAGTCCTGGCGGGGCTTCCCTGAGGCCGCCGGCTGCTCCCCCGAAGACGCAGGCAAGCTGCTGCCCGGTGTGTCCCTCCGGGGTGGTGCTGAGTCTGTCCCCGGGTGGCGGGTGGCGGGTGGCTGTGGGGGCAGGTTGGACGCGGTTGACGCCTCCCAAGCCCGGGAAACCCGAAGCCGGGGGAGGCTCAGTTCAGCCGCATCCTGGTCCCAGGCAGCAGCCCCGAACCGCCGAGACACGAGGGAGCTACGTGGCCTCTGCCGTCGGGCCCTGGCCGCTCCGCTCTCTCAAGTGGGTGGGAGCTGCCGGCCGGTGGGGCTGCGCCTCTGGCCCGCGCCCGTCTGGGTCTGTGTGGACCGGGTCTGTGTCCACTCAGCGGGTCCTCCCGCGTCCTCCCCCTGCCCCCTTATATGCGGGTGTGACTGAGCTGGGACCTGAGGCTGGGGCAGGGGGGCGCGAGGCCTGCACAGCGCCTCCTGGAAGCTGAACCAAGTTGCCCGTGAATCGGGCCCAGGCCGGGAAGGGCCGGGCCTGCGGGGCGGGGGTGGGGCTGCCCCCCCAGATGCGGCTCTCCGAGCTCAGACATCGCTGGGTTTCCTAAAATGTGGTTTCCGAGTCACCAGCGGCTTGATGATCGTGGGTAAAGGATCGGCCGACCGCGCATCCCGAACCTCTGCCCCGGTGGAAGCTCAGTGTGCCCACAGGAAGCACGACTGCAGCGAGCTAGACCCGAGGGCGGGCGGCCTGAGGCCGGGGCCCAGGGCCGTGTCAGGGGTCTCTGGCTTGGCTCCGGACTGCGGCCTGAGTCTGAAGTGCATCTCGGCTTCCAAAGTCCTTTTCCCGTTGTTGCTGAATACATGTTGGTGTCACATGGCGCTCTCGGTGGTGAGGCCCGTGAGGAAGGTGCGTGAGACGGCCAGCCTCTTCCCAGGCCGCTCTGGGTGGTTGCTGAGCGCTCATGAATCCCGGGCTCACATTTCCACAGCGAGCGTGCCGCTGTCTGTGGACAAACGAGGATAATGGCCTGAGTGAATTAGCGAGTCTGCAGAGGGGAGCCATCAGCAGAATGATAAATTTAGGATCTCTGAAGACATCTGGTCAGCCACGCCGGTGCCGGGGCTTGTGATTGACTGGGTGATTAATAATGGAAGCCCTTAGCTCACGGTTTCCATCTCCCTCGCCCACTTCCCCAGCCAGGGCCGTCTGCTGCAGCCTGGGGGCTGCTTCCAGATGGGGCCTGTGGGCCCCTCATCTTCGGCCTCTGTGAGTTTAAAGTTTCGGTTTTTCTCTTTCGTGTCCAACTCGTCTGTGCTCTCTGACAGCTCGTCGACCTTTTCACATTTGCTGTAGTCCGCGCATCCGATGCCACCCACGGGCCCAGGGCCTGCGGGGTCTCGCCTCTGTGCCCTCCTGGACCCCAGCTCGCCCCTCAGGCAGGAGCGCCCCTCAAACACACAGAGCAGAGGGGCCAAGTCGGCTCTGTCCCCTGCGCTCCGCAGCCGGCACGCCCAGCCTCGGACCCGGCTCTGATCTGTGCTGGCTTTCTCTCCAGGCTAAAGCAGCTGGACAGGCACAGCCAGGCCGCAGCCCAGCAGCTGGTGCAGCTCCTCAACAAGCAGAACCAGCTCCTGCTGGAGGGACAGAGCTTGTCGGAAGAGGCGGGACATCCGAGCCCCCAGGTACCGTGCCGCAGCCGGCGGGGTCCTCGGGCCGCCTCGACCTGCAGCGGACCCCGGGGGCTGCACGGCACAGGCATCACCTGCCGGTCTGCAGACCCCCGAGAAGCGAAGTCAGATTCCTGTGGGAGAACGGGCCGGTGACTCATCGGCCACGTGGCGGGAAGAGCTGCACCACACGGGCCCCGGGGGGGGGAGGCAGGAGGAGGCGCCCGCGGAGCTGGGGAGGTTCACTGGAAGGTCCTCTTTGAAGCCCCCTGGAGGGGGTGTGTCCTCCCAACTGTCCGAGGAAACAGGCGCTTCCATAGAGAAGTGACTGCGAGCAAGCTGAAGGGGGTCTGGCCTGCATCCCTCGCGAGGCCCCGAGGTGCCCTTGGAGGGTCTTGTGCTGTAGGTGACTGCCAGAGCTCTGCACTCTCTCACCCCTGAATAGGGCTGCAAGGTTGAGCTCATTGTTTCCATCTTTCAGGTGGGAAACTGAAGCGCAGAGTCCAGCCAGCAGGGCCGCGGGAGTGGAACAGTCTCCATCGCCCAGCTCCCACGGGCATGACCAGGGGACAGACGGCACCAAGGCTGGCATGCGGATGAAGGCCTCTTCCCCTGAGTGCTCCCGCTTCTGTCAGAGCGGCTGAACCTTTTACCCATCAAGCAACTTGCTAGAATGCGGTGGCTGATGGGCTGACCGGCCTCACGGTCGGTGAGGGTCACCCAAGGCGGCCCGCAAGCTCCTGGAGACGTCACCCATGACGCGCTTGGAAGGATTCATTTGAGCGTGGAAACGAGGAGAAATGGCCTCTCCCTCTCCTTTCACACAGCTCTCGGCTGAGCGGTCCTCAGAGTGGTTTTGCCCTCCCCCCCTCCAATAGTACGCGAGCCCCGGGGTGCCAGGCCGAGTGCGGGTCCCATCGGGCCCTGGGTGCTGGGCAGCAAATAAAAGGAGCCTGGACTCTGAGACGGCCCACGCAGCCCGGCCGCACTGGGCTGGTCCAGGAGTCGGCCTTGGCACCTGCTGAGTCCTGGTGACCTGAAGTCTGAGAACCTTTGATGTCTCTGACAGTAGAAAGGCCAGAGAATGAGTCCGAGGCCGACAGTCGGGGGTCTCTCCACAGGCTCCGTGTGTCCATCTGCAGGACGGGGCAACCCGCCAACTCGCAGGAGCTCAGTGCACGTGTCGGGCGCCTCTGGGAGGCCCAGCGCGGTAGCTGACGCAGCGCATTTCATTCCCTCTCCTCCCCAACCTGAGAGTCCCGGGGAGAAGTGCAGGGAAGGAGAGGCCCGCGGGGTCAGCGGTGCCCGGCCACTTTGCCCACGCTGTTCGCCCCTCCGTCTCTCCTCCTCGAGCTCCAAGCACGTGGCCGTTTTCCCTCTCCTCCGGCCCCTGTCCCGGTTGTGTGGGCTCCGCCTTGATCTCCCCATCTGTCTGCCGCACAGCACACTCGGATCCTAACACCGACCGTCGATGCTAGAAATGTCTTCCAGGGTTTTCAAAACCTGATAATTGCCAAATGGATTCCAAAGTTTTCATGCATTTAAAACAAAACCAAATCTAGAAAAAAAACCTCAGAAAAATGAGTCTTTTTTCCCTCGCCTGAAGCAACAAAGTTTGACCATCCTGTGCTAGCTGATACTGGCCCACCTGGCTCCTCTCTAAAGGGGCCCTTCAGATGCAGGCTTTCCATCTGGAGTTCTTTTCACATGAACGCCACAAAAGGAATTTGGTGCAGGGAATGAGGGAGTGTTGGCTTTTAGAAGCGAATGCCAGTGTTCACAGAGCTTGCAGCCATCCCCGTGGGGATCCGAGTGTCCCAGACTGAAGGCTCTTTCCTTCCCTGTGACGCTGCCCTAGAGAGTTCTGTGTCTGCCAGCGTCCGTGGCCGGTCAGGAGAACTGTGAGGTGCGCTGCAGTGAGCCCTTGCTGCTTACTCCCTGTCCCTGCAGGTGTTTCCTGGACCCCGTGTTCTGGGGGTTCTGGATCTGTAGTCACGTGTACTGTTTTCCTGGAGAGAGTCCTCTGTTTCTTCTGTGCTTGAGGGATGGTTTAGCTCAAGACAGCCATTTCTCAGCCCATCTGAATCACACACAATAACTTAATTTTGCGTCTCAAACTCTCCCAGGCCCCCAGAGGAGAATGGGTATTTCCTAGGCTGGGCAGCTGACCTTAGTCAAAGCTGCCTTTCTTGGCTATGCACCTGTGTGCCCGGCCTGGCGTCCCGAAGCAGGGGGTGGCCTGTGGCCTTTGACAGCAAACAAGAAGACTCTATTACTCTAAATCATCCCTGCTTAAATTCTGAAATGTGTACAGCAACATGTCTGGCAGAGGGAGCCGGTCATAGTCTTAATCATGCCACGGTGACATTTTTGGCCACGGGAATTCCCATCTTCCCCTGAAACGATGCTGTGTGCTGCGAGCCAGGCTGGCGAGAGCCGGGAGGCCTGCAGCTGGCCGGGTGGGCGAGCCTCAGGACGCTGAGCGCGTGGCTTCTGGTTGACTGCTCTGAGTTTACAGCTGACTAGAAACAACGGTTTTATTAACCTTCTGCGTCTTCTGGGGGGAACAGGAAAGCAAGAAGATGGCTTAAAATCTCATGACGTGGCTAGAACTTGTGGCAAGTAGGGGCATGGGAGCGCCAGCCGGCCAGCTCAAGCACAGCTTCCCGCCCTTCTCCATCCTCACCCCAGGGGTGTCCGCTGGGGGCGGGCTCCAGGGCTCTGACGCTTCTGCAGAGGTGGGCCGTGGCCGACAGGGGACCGGTGCGGGGACCGAGCCTCTGGTTGGTAACTTGGGCCCCCGAGGAGACTGGGTGGGGGGCGGCCGCCCGGTGCCAGCGCACCAAGCTGGCCAGGAAAGAGGGTGCCAGCAGGTGAGGGAACCCCAGTCTTCTCTGAGAGCTGGGAAAGGAGATGGTGGGTGGGCCCACGGGAGGCTCTTTCTACATCAGGATTATTTCGCTTAGATATTTATTTGGGGGTGAGTGTGGTCTCCGCTGCTGTCTGTTTTCTGGCTGCTTCTTCCAACAGCCGGATTCCATCGTCAGTGTCGGGGGGGGGGTGGTTCTTTTTAGTCCCTTCAGACGAATCACTGTTACAGTTTTGAAAACCCTATCGGCGACTGATTTATCAGTGGTTAATCATTTGGCCCTATGACTTTTGAGCATTCTTGGCAGAAAAATTTCTTTCTAATTTGATTTAAACTTGTGCATGGATCCAGCAGCCATATGTGATTATATTCAGGAACACGGACATTATCTCATTACGCCAAAGGCCTCGTGGAAGAGAGCTGAAAACACACCCGAGAAACAGAGACAGAAGATGGCAGGCGCGGGAGAGGCCTGGTGGTGGCCGGGAGCCGTCCAGGAAGAGACGCGTCGCCCCTCAGCCCCGCCAGCACAGGTGCGCACACCTGCGGGAGAGACGCGGGCTGCCCGGCGCGCCTGGAGCTGCTCGCTGCCACGGGGCGCCCTTCCCCGAGCCCCAGGGGTGCTGCCCAGCTGACACAGTGGTTCTGGGGAGTCAGCTACCTGCGAAACAGATGGCCCTTGAATAGAACAGCAAATACACGGAATAAAATAAATTAGAAAGCCTCCTCCTTCACCAAGATTTTTTGGAAAGGATTCTAAATAGATGAAAACAAACAATTTGATTTCAACCAAATTGTTGTTTTTTTGTTTTTATCCTGATTTTCACCCGAATTGTCAGTCTCAAAAATAAACACTGATACATTCCCAGAAAATATTTTTCAAATAAAAACTGACTCTGTTAAAGTTTGCCCTGATTCTTTCAAAACTGTGTATAAGACACTGTCAACCAAAGTGACTTGCATATTTTTTTAAATAAACTTGAACATATGCAGCTAAAATGTCATTAACTCCCTGCTGCCGGGGTGTTTTTAAGGACTGACATAAGACCCCGGCGCTGCGTTCCAGGCGGAAGGGCCTTCGGGCCCTCGTATAGCTCCACCAAGCCGCCCCCCGAAAGCGTGGCTTTAACTTTGTGTCTTTCACTGGAGGCCCTGGGCGTAATTAATATTGAGAAGCACAGAAAGCTTCATTTACGCTAGACCTGCTCTTCCCTTCACAGTTCACTTTGTCCAAGAGTGAAGCATTTCAGAATAAGACTCATGGAAGAAAAATAAATTGAATTTTCTGTTGCTTCAGATACACTTACTCCACTTGTACTTCCCGAGTCAGACATTACATTTTGCGATCTAAATTCACAATCAAGATTTTAAAGGGAGCTAAATATTTTAATCCAATTAGACAAGTGAACAAAACACTGAATATTACATGCAGTGTAGATAAGTGGTTCTTGACTTTAAAAGACTGTAATTCCGTCACATTACAACCCCAAATGTCAGTGTTGTCTTTATTTTTAACGCTTTCAAACATGAGGCAGCCAGAGGCTCCACTCTCTGCTGTTGGTGACACTGTCTGTCCTCTGGGAATTCTTAAACTCTATTTACCATGGAAACATGGTTCATGGGAAACACAGACACCTACCCACGTGCAGGGGAAGCGCTTGTGACTCTGGGGTAGGAGACAGCTGGGAGATCACCGAGTCAGGCTCCCAGGAGCAGGGAGGCGCCCTTGGGCTCGCGCTCAGCAGACCCCACAGCCGCCGCAGCCTGGGGCCAGCGTGGCCTCCAGCTCCTCCCGGGCCCCCACCCCTCCCGGCTCCCCAAGGCCACAAGTGTCAAGTCCTGACCAAGGTGCTGTTTCCCAGAAAGCCAAGGAATCCTCTTCCCCACTTCCGCTCCCGCCCTCTGCCTTTTCGTTCTGTGACTTCTACAGTTGTTTTTGTTTTTTTTTTAATTTTCTTTTTCTGCACAGGGAAGAAAGTCAGATCTTCTTATCAGACGGGTCTATGGAAAAACGGGCTTCGAACTCGGATGGCCCGAGAGCTTTCACTAGGGCAGAGACCCAACCTGCCTGTCTAGAGAGCATGAACCCTGGGTCTGCACGACGTGGCCATGAACTCTGCTCTGCGCTGCAGCTGCCCTCGGCCAGATTCTGAGAGAGGCCTGGGGATCAGGCAGCCTGAGGCTCAGCTACAGCTCAGGCATTTGCTCTGCGAAGGCAGAGTGAGGCAGGGAGCGTGACTGTGGCCTGGAAAAGGACTGCGCCCCCCCCCCCCCCAAGAGGCCCTCATTCCTGCCCGAAGGTCAGAGTTGGTGAGGGCACTTTCCTCTGGAACAATCTGCTGATCATCATAGTCCCCATGACTTGTTTATTGACTTTCAAATCCGACTTCCACTTAGTTTCACAAATATCAAGCTCGGTGACTAAGCTGCTTGGACAGTGTTAAAGGCCCTGGACTCTGAAGTCAAACTGCCGAGCTTCAAGTCTCAGCTTTGTCTTACATTTGTTCTATATTTTTTATTTTTTTAGCTTTTGTGACACACTGTTTCTGGCTTAAAAACAAAATAAGGTCCTCCCTGGTGGCACAACGGCTCAGGATGTAACACTGCAAGCCGGCCGCAGCCGCTTCGGTGCGAGTTCTATCCCTTGCCCGGGAGCTGACCCACATGGCGCGGCAGACCTCTCCTGACCCGCCCGCTGCTCCCCTCAGCAGTGGACTCAGTAGATCTGCCTGTTCTGCTCCCCGCTCTGTCTCTGGGGAATCCCTGCGCCTCTGACCGGCACTTCAGTTCTGTGTGCGTAAATACATAAATTAAAAACAAAAGATTCTTTTAAAATAAAATAATAATAATAAACAGCCACCCCCGCCCCAAGCTTCCTGCTCCCACCTCCCCCAGAGCTGGGCACAGGTGGCTGGAGAGCAGCCTTGGCACTGACACCACCTTGGGCTTGAAAGGGATGCTCCGAACAGCCAGCTAGCACCTTTTTGTACACACAGAACAATGAGACGGGGAAATGAAGTCAACAGGACAGGGAGGTAAGTGGGCAGCGAAGTGGACTCGCAAGGAGATGCCCATTCTGTGGTGACCGTGGGCAGAAGGCCGGGGTCCATGCCCGTAGGCCAGGAGGCTCCGCGCCTCGGGCAGGGCGGGAAGCCGCACGCAGACCACACTAGGGGACAGGGCCCGGACTCCCCACCATGGCGGGCAGGGGAGAGCCAGTGAGGCGGGACTGGCGGGTTCCCTGGCACTCTGTCAGCTGAGGGGCATTTTGAAATGCCCCAGGCGGATGTGGGGGCGGCTCTTGCCCTTTCTGGTTAACAGACAGATGCTTTCTCGCCAGAAGCCCAGGAACAGGACCGTGGGCACACAGACAGAAAACGTGTGTGCGACCCAGACCGCAAGTCGGGCGTCCGTTTGGGAGGGTGGTCAGAGGAGAGAGGCCTAGCACCAAACACAAACGGTCCGGCGCAGGCGCACCCCTGTGAGCAGGCCCGAGGGAGTCTGGCGTCCCGCGCAGGCACAGAGCAAACGGAACGTCTGTGAACCCCGCAGAGCGGTTGCCGGGGAACAGTTCAGAAACTCGGTTTTCTTTTTCAAACTCTGAATTTGAATCACACTTCAGAAATAAATTAGCCACAAAAGTCAGGGTTTGTGAGAGAAGGTTCTGTCAGGATTTAACACGAGAACAAAGGAAACGGGTGAGGACGGCAGGCTGGTAGCGCCCGAGGTGGGGAGCCGCGTCAGCCTCTGCGGTGTGGCCACGCCGGCCGCCGGAGGACCCCGCAAGGGGCCTGGGCGACAAGCTGAGGGGCCGAGGC